GGCCGCAGGTCAAAGGTCACTGACTCAAGGTCACGACTTAACGTCTGTCTGTATCGTGAGGGGACGTTGTCACATCACGACACTACTTAAAAGGCCATTAGAGAAGTGATTTGTATGATATATACAGTTCCATCTCTGGAACTGACTCACTGGGTGTATCCAAGGGCATGGATATCTGGGTGGAAATATATAACCTATGTTTGGGTGACCGACTGTCTGATATTCTGGGGGGGGAGAGAGGATGTTCGGGGTAGGTGAAGCGCTGGGATTTGACGAAACAGTTTAAATAAACTGACGTACAAAACAAAGTACACACCTGGTGCTCTGGGATTATTTTCCCCCAAACAGCGTAAATATATTAAATTACGAATGAAACGCAAATGCTAAAAATGTTTGAAATTACATGAAATAAGACATTAATCAAGGCAAAGTGATGATCGATGATCGATGATCGATGATCAGCGCTGTGTCCTGTTGATATCTGTGGCGCTGCTGATGGAGGCCACACTCAATACTAAAATGTCATTTTCCATGACCCTCTGACGTTACCAAATGACGAAATGTAACGATGTCTTATTGACATTTTACAAAAACACGTCTGGTTACGAATAACTATCATTTGTGTGTTCACTTAAAGGATTGATGTTGGTTTTTTGCATGTTGTCATAAGCAAACATCGATCTCATCATTCACTTTTCTATTACAGTTTCGCTTGATTCGCGTTTCTTTTGGAACTGAGTATACATGTACATGTATATGGAAAGGTGTTTTGATTGTGACTTACAGGTCACAAACATTGCGAATGTGTTGTCAAAACACCACAGATATGGTATCCAATTGCGACGTTGTATGTTTGCAGGTGTGTGTGTGTCTGGTTCGTTTTGGTTTTGCGTGCGTGCGTGCGTGCGTGTGTGTGTGTCTGTGCTGTTGAGGGTATGCCGACGAGTCTTAATTCATCATGTTTTGCAGATCGCCAGGCGACAGAAGAGATGTGGTCGGGTGGTAAGACTTACTGACTTGGTTGATGCTCGTGATGTCAATCACCAGATTGCCGTATACCTTCTCGACTTTCAAGACACCGCCATCACATAATTGGAATATGGGCGCGGCGCCAAACAACAAGCGTGTGGTTGTTTTAAAAAATAGAACAATATCTGGCATTGAAGTTTGTGTTATAATCATGCGAAAAACTAGCATATGATTCTGGAAGCAAACCGCACTCTCTCGCACCATGTAGTAAAAATGCAGTTGGCAGTAGGCTAGTCTAGTCGTTACGTCAGTCAATATTGTACGACATTCCCAGGCACAAGCACCTGATTACCTGAACTCGACTGGGTCTAGACGAGCTCTACGCTACTCCACGTCTGGGTCTAAAGGACATGGCTGATTCTCACACCTGCCGCAGTGCGGTTAAGTACGGCCTTTAACCGAAAAAGCTCCTGACGTCTCAAACAGGTACATTTACAATTGAAACCATAAAATGGCGTGAATACAGTCTCGCTTTGGCGATGTGTGTGGTATCCTGGACTATATTACGGCTGTAGTGTCTGGACAGCGGGTGTTACATTCATCATTAGGCTCCGCCCCTCGCGGATGAATACATCAATCATTTTCAGTCGTTATCGTGAGCTGTGACGTCACGTCATTCATGACGGTGTCCCGCCTCGTTCACGTCGTCCAATGAATAGAGAGGAACCTGCAAGGCGGTTGAACGGGAATATCGTACGATGTGAAATCTCATGTCGTACGTTTCGCGTATTCAATGACAAGAATGAAGATTTACTGATCTGTGTCGCCAAGGAGTGAAACATGGGACAAGTTGTAATGGTTGCTGAGGAGGCTAGTAGTGATGGCCGCCGACCTCATGCTCCAAAGGACAACTCCTTTGAAGACTGCAATTTTTGCAACAAAACATAAAAATATCTTTATTCGCTTGTGTGTGTACTCCAACATCAAATGTTTTAAGACGTTTAACGCTTAATTTTTTATTGAATTCAATATTTGAAATAAAGGGGAGTACTGTAGCTCACCTGCACATGAATTCCACACTTTACAATTGTCATAAAGGCAGGCACAAATTGCTGGCGATTAGGTGAATGAATCTGAGGGTGTGGGTTCGAATCCCGGATAGGACTCTACCCAACAAAAGTACTAGAATCTGTACTTTACTAAGAAAGTGTAATCCCAATTATAACATATGTGACATTTGACCACTTTCTAAATGGCATTGTGTATTCACAGGCACAGATTGCTCTCAGATTTAATATGCAGATACATTCTGTATACATCCAAGGGAATGTCACATATACTAGAGCTTATTCAGATATATGTTAAATATAAAGATCAATGTCTAACATTAAAACTAATTCCATATTTGTCATTTTATATTCCGTGACCTGGACGTCTCCTACTCCATGCCAGGATTTCATATTGTTGAGGGGGCGGTGGGGTAACCTGGTGGTTAAAGCGTTGGCTCGTCACGCCGAAGACCCGGGTTCGAATCCCCACATGGGTACAATGTGTGAAGCCCATTTCTGGTGTCCCCCGCCGTGATGTTGCTGGAATATTGCTTAAAGCAGCGTAAAACCAAATTCAGTCAGTCAGTCAGTCATTATTGTTGAGGTGACAGAAATACGATGCGTTGTGTCATTTGGTGATACAGATTCTCAGAAAAGAAATATTTATGTTTTTGTACATCGTCTACTGCAGTCGAGGTAGGAGGCTAATCGTTATGCGTCAAACAATGTTGCGTCCATTTGTAGTCATTCTATTCTCTAAAGCGTGATTTCAAAATATATGTCTCGAATATTTTTATAAATATATAAGAAAATCACGACGATATGAACAAGCTAAACTGACACACGAAAGAAGGTCATACACCAATGTTTTATGGTGTCGAAAAATTAAATCAACAACAAATCGTTATTCGATGGTAGATGATCCGAGTGTCTCATGTTTTGACAGCGTTTCGTTGACTGTTTTATATTTGTATTTCTTTTCAAACTTAACTTACTATGTTAGTGTTTAATTTCCTGTGTCCAACACTTTGTGAATCACTGAAATAAATATGAATGAAACAATTTCGACCTATGGAGTTTTCGACAATGCGTCGACCATTTAATGAGCCATTTTGAATTTCGCTTACGTAACCTACAAAATAATTTGGTCAAGAAACATAAAACAGGCAGCTCATTCATTCTGTCCAACTCCCCAACGCCAGTAGGATGAGTTAACCCAAAGAATATTCAAAAATCTTATCGAAGACAGTGTTGGAAATGACATCGTTTGAATGCCAAATATGTTCATTCAGAAAAGCACATTGTATATCGGCATCCGTTGATAAAGCTCAAGTGTGTGTGTCATGAAAACATTATGACACTTTTCACAAGAATCTGGCTCCTCTTGCAACAGGCCAGACAATCTCGTCTCGGTACAATCACTGGAATACATTCACTGGAATAGTGGCAATTAGCCAATGACGTCATTGCAAGTGATTGACCCAATTCAGTGTCGTTCCATCAGCTTCACTCATGGCTCCCTGCTGGATACCCAGCCTTAGGGTGTACGTTCACTACAGATCAACGTCTAAGGTTATCCAACGTGTAGCCAGTATCGAGGGATTAGGTATGAATAGGGCCCGGTGGTACTGACCCATAACGGTCGTAGATGCTGGTATGCTGTGTGTGTCTTGTGAATGATGTGATTGGAACATTTTCACGCGGCTTTGTGCGTAGTCATGTTGTGGTGCTGACGGTTTAGTCAGAACAGACAATTGAATAATGAGGCGAATGTACTGAAATGACGGGCTACTGACTATCTGACGTCATCTGCTTCCTGTCGCGAAGCCTTTGCGTGGGATCAATCTCTTTGCTTTATTTTGATCAAGTGTCCTTTTCCGTTTCATAAATGTTGTTTTTCACAAGTACATTTGAACCAGTTTCTTTGTAAATAATCACAGTGTGTATTGGCAGAGATAATGGTTTCTGACAGACTGAGTTTAAACATTTTTGCGGTTGGCCAGTTGTCTGAGATGCAATGAGAAAAAGTATTGTAAAATGGTAATAAATGTAAACCATAAACAGTCAAAGTTGCTTATGGCCTTTCTTATCTACACCGGGCGGTGGGGTAGCCTAGTGGTTAAAGCGTTGGCTCGTCACGCCGAAGACCCGGGTTCGAATCCCCACATGGGTACAATGTGTGAAGCCCATTTCAGGTGTCCCCCGCCGTGATGTTGGTGGAATATTGCTAAAAGCGGCGTAAAACCAAACTCAGTCAGTCAGTCAGTCTTATCTACACCAGACCCATGTGAACTTCACCCCTTAATGCTTTAATGCCCTTAATCCCCTAATTTACAAAAGTTAGCACAATGGGGCACGCCACTGCAATTCGCTCAAATCCTATGGTCGGTTTGAATCCCGTTTTGTCTGGCTTATATTTTTTGGTATGTGAGGACCATAATCCGTGTTCGCGGGTTTCACCAAAGTGGAACATCACACATCTGAGACTTGTATCACTTCCGACAATCTGTGGAGGTCATGGGAGGAATTGTTCGCCTCCATTGCGATCCAGTGCTAGAACTGCTTCGTGTATTTTTGCTTCTGTGCCATAAGACATTGGTGAAAGCGCGGCTTTCGAAACTCTTCGTTAGGAAACGAACACGGAATTTCTAGATAATGGGACAGTGCATCTAAGGAGCCAATCTGTTAGAGGTATATTTTATATTTTTGGCGGCGGTGGGGTAGCCTAGTGGTTAAATTGTTCGATCATCACGCCGAAGACCCGTGTTCGATTCCCCACATGGGTACAATGTGTAAAGCCCATTTCTGGTGTCCCCCGCCGTGATCTTGATCGAATATTGCTAAAAGCGGCGTAAAACCAAACTCACTCACTTTTATATTTTTTTAGAAATTATCATTTAAACTATTACTTATCAACTTAGAGACTTGTGCAAGAATCACCCACTCATTCCAAACATAACAAGAAAAAAAACTGAGAAATCATATATTTCTGTGATTATTTATTCATAAATTAGTGAGACATTATAAATTATTGATCTACGCTATATTATGTTACTTGTTAAAGTGATGGTTCTACGTTTAAGGAACTTTATAACAGAAGAGGTATGTATAGGTATGTACAACAGAACCCTACTGTGACGACAATCAATGCAACGTATTCAAAAATACACATTCACACACACATTCAAAAATATCTTATTATTCTGAGCTAAACACAGATTTTTACAAATGCCTCTTTATCTGTAGGGTTGTATTTTTCAAAATTTTATACATAAAAATAAATAATATACATCATAAACAATAGCAAAAACAAACGTTATCACATGTGGTATTTTCATCCACGTGACCGGAAGTTCATCCATCTTAGTTTGTCTTCTTCCGCTTTGATTCATCCTTGTCGCGCTCTTTGTGAATGAAGTCCTGAACGTTTGGAAGACCCTTCACTACGCATGCGCTAAGTGCACTTCGGTATAAGTTCATATCTGTGGCGTCATACCTGAAGCAAAAGAAAAGATATTTATTAATTGGCGGAAACTTGGTTGACGTTTTAAATAAGGGGAGTAAACAGATAGCCGTAGTGCTATGTATTATGGCGCCACTATGATCATTAGAATTGTCATTATATGTACATGTCTCTCTTCGGTGCTACTGAAAAGAAGACGAAGTAGTCGCCGGAAGTTTGTCAAACCATTTACTGTCAGTTTGGTATATTTACATACAGGCATTGTAAGGCAAGGCAAGACTCACTGTCAACAACACGGACGCGTGGTTATATAAAAAATACACAACAAAATACGAAATCGGGTGCTACGGTTCGGGTGTATATAATTGTTGAACTGGCAACGAAATGGCAGATAAACGAAATTACCAATATGGCATGTACACAACACAGGCAACAGGCGAAAAGCCTTACCATTTTTATTATAATTGAATAGCATTTATTTCATTACTTTCTGACCAGCCGCCCCCGAACTACAGCTTTGCCATTTTTCTAACCCATTACCGGTTAGAATTGATCTCCAGTAACCCATGCCTGTCGTAAGAGACGACTAACAGAATCGGGTGGTCAGTCTCGCTGACTTGATTGGCACATGTCTCATGCTGTTGATCACTGGATTGTCTGGTCGAGACTCGATTATTTACAGACAGCTGCCGTAGAGCTTGAATATTGCTGAGTGCGGCGTAAAACTAAACTCACTCACTCACTACACGCAGCAGTTAATACATTGGAGCGATTTTCGTAAGTGTTAGAAAAACATTAGTGCATTTGTGCCTGTCAGATACCATATGTCTTACAACTCGTTGTTTCAAATGGTATCGAACCAGCTTTCGCTCGAAGATACCTTTCGAAACAATTCGTTTGAAGATAAATGATATTAAGACTCATGTGTAGGCTGGTAATCTCTTGAGGTTTTTTAATTGATAAACTGTATATTTTATTTAGAACCCAAATTTAGTGGTCGCTTAAATGGAACAAACAGGGACTAGTTTTTGACCGATGTTTCACGGGCTTTTTAATTATCAGATTTGTTTTTAGCGTCTTAGCTGAGTAGCGTTTCGGAAACGTGTGTATTTTTTTAATAAATTAGTTTGTAACATTATTTTTCAAATGAGTGGCGTTGTCATGAAAATTATCAACGCCTTTGTGGTGTCGCGAGAGTGGAATGTGAGTCAGTCGATCCCAGACAGGTTAAAAAATAGAGTAACAGGATTTACGAAAATCTATCAAGTGTGTCAGTAACGCGAGTAGTGTGCATGTATTTTGTCTGCGTAAAAATAAATAAAAAGTTAAAAAGTAACAGTCTTCCCAGACGGTAAACAAGATGTTATTCCCAGGTGTATGGTGCAATAAGCACGACATGACCCCTCTCAAAAAATGTCCCCCTAGTTGGACGCCTATTTGCGACGCCATTCATTCACTGTTTTGAAAGAGAAATGATGAAATCTTTAGTGGTATCACGCGATCCTAAGCTGCCCCCAACCCATGTCAGTTTATATTTTGGCTGATGTTTTGTTGAGAAGCATCGCCACCAGAGGGCGTTCCAGCTACCGCCGTTCAATGCATCATCCTTATGACCATATCCGGCCGGACAAAAGACGACTCGCTGTATTGTCCGTGACCAATCTGACGTGAAGAAGGGGAAGTCCGGTCACTGGATTCTAATCTACAGGGACGACAAATACAGATACCCCTCAGTTAAGGGTTGGTGCGTAGCGCAGCGGTTAAAGCATTAGCTCGTGGCGTCCCGGGTTCGTTTCCCAGGTTTGTTTTGTTTGTTTGTTGTCAACATCAGTTTGGATCGATGGCATGTGTCAACCAAGTCAGCGAGCCTGACCACCTGATCCCGTTAGTCGCCTCTTACAAGCATGAGTTTCTGAAGACCAATTTTTACCTTGATCTATCCAGGTGTAAACGCTCACTCACTCACTCACTCACTCACTGATCCACACACGCACACACCACCACCAAACCCCTCACCCCCATTGCCACCCCAACCCAGTTGGTATCGGGGTTGTTATTTTTAAAGTAGGTCACAAACAACCTGTTCTTCGTAAACAGGGAAAAGGTTTGAGTGATTTTGTTCATTGTGCGTCATCATTCACTGACGGTATAGGGAGTTACTCATGATATGGGGCGGTGGGGTAGCCTAGTGGTTAAGGCGTTGGCTCGTCACGACGAAGACCCGGGTTCGAATCCCCACATGGGTACAATGTGTGAAGCCCATTTCTGGTGTCCCCTGCCGTAATGTTGCTGGAATATTGCTAAAAGCGGCGTAAAACCAAACTCAGTCAGTCAGTCCTCATGATATCGACCACTAGTTTGTCTGTTCCAATTTACCGCGATGCAGCTGGAATACGCTGAAATCACATTCGCTCACTTACCACTCATCGGTACTGGCGTCGTAGCACTCGACGTTGAAGATGGTGGTGACCCCGTTGAAGCCGCCGATTGAGAATATCATATCATCAATAACCTGAAACAGAGACGTGCCACGTTAATTCATCTTGCTGTAGACTCCGCTGAAAGTCAGTGTTGAGGTCTAACTGTTCTCCACCCGTCAAGATCTGGGTTAGAAATGGTCTATAACAACCCATGCTTGTCGTACTTAGGGGCGACTTAGGGGATCGGGTGGTCAGGCTCGCTGACACATGTCATCGCATGCCAGTTTCGTAAATCAATAATCATGCTGTTGATCATTGGATTGTCTGGTCTGGACTCGATTATTTACAGACAACCACCATATAGTAGGAAAGTTGTTGAGTGCGGCGTTAAACAACAAACAAACAAAAAAACAAACAAACAAACAAACTTAGTTTCTTCTTCATTTGGTTACCCATGCTTGTCGTAAGAGGCGACTAACGGGCCACGGGTGGTCAGACTCGCTGGTGATGTTTGGAATATTGCTAAAAGGTTGACACATGTCATCGGTTCCCCATATTGCGCACATCGATGCTCATGCTGTTGATCACTGGATTGTATGGTCCAGACTCGATTATTTACAGACCGCCGCCATAAAGCTGGAATATTGCTGAGTGCGGCGTAAAACTAAACTCACTCACTCACTGTTCATTTCGTTAAAAGATAAGATCACGAGTTGTCGCCCTTGAATGGCCAATCATGATAATCAGATAGTGCCACCACTTCACTAGTGGAAAACGTGGTTAACTTACCACGGGAAATTACATCTTTTGACCCACGACTAGCCCAGATTTTAAACTTTGACCTATACTTACACACTGGTTTAAGAAGTCACTCACAAAGAGACGGTAGGGTCGGTTGGTGTTTAGGACGTTCGATTTTCTGGGGTCCCATCTGTGATATTGCTATAAGCGGCGTAAAACCACACTCACTCGCCTTGACGACATTCTATACTTGAACGCGTCGTAGGCGTGTTAGTGAGTGTAGCTGGTTTTACGTAACAAGAAATACCCCATTACCTTGTAACACATTACTCTCGCGGTGAACCGAACCCCAGACGAGCGAACGCTTTTCCTACTAGGCTACGCTGCCCCTTTGTGAAGGTATCTTGTGAAGTATAGGCGAGTATACTAGGCAACCATTAACCTTAATAGGACAGAAGTTAACCGTTGATGTGGGTGACAAACGCGTCATTTGTATACAGCTGGCGTTTTGTTTCCGGTCACACATCTCAAAATCTCAGTATGATAAACTTATTATTAAGCATATTTTTCTGTCTGTCCGCCTGTGTCTGTCTGTGTATCTGTCTATCGCCTGTACGCATGTACGTACGCACGCATGTATGTATGTATTGCGCAAAAGCAACCATCTTTCATATAATGTTCTATTTCGTAAAATAGACCAAAAAAATGAAAAAGAATCTTTTAAGGGCATTTAGAAGTGGACTGCATAAGAAAAGCAAAATTTATGGATGTCAGCTTCTTTATTGTGAATAACACTACGTTGCTCCTCATCAGGTCATGAAGGCGCAAGCATACACTCCGACATGTCGTGTTATTCACAATAAAATTAAAGAAGCCCATTAATCTTGCTTTTCTAAAAATTAAAAAACAAAAAATTAAATGAAACAAGCAGAATGAACAAAAACAATACCTACTGGGTAAATGAATCTATTCTCGATTATTAACTGCCCGTCCATTTTAAGAGGTTATCTAACGCTCTTGCAAAAAACGGTTGATGATGCAACCCTCTGTTATTACTGTAACCAGAAAAGCCTCGTTTTTTAACTGCTCGACGAAAACACTTGAAAGCCGAGTTTCTGACACAAGCCACGTGGCTGTGAACAATAGCCCTGCCCACCGGGTAACGTGGTACGTCTGTCTGTCGTTCCAGGTGCTACCGTTTGCCATAATTAAAAACACAATGGCTCTTTTTATAACAATAGACGGAGAATGTCTGCGGTTAGGTCACACTGACACATATAGACGGCGTAATATTGATGGCTTACAGATCTCTGGGATTATGTGATGTTTCTTTACAGACTCCGAAATATTCCATATGGAATTGATCTGAAAACGCATTCGTTGCACTTTAATACACCTTCACCTTATATTTAGCGAAATATAGCAAAATAAAGGTTTTTACCTACTTATGTGAACTTCAAAGACTAAACTTAAATGCGTGTAACTTAGCACTTAAGTTTTTTTGGTTTTTTGGGGGGTTGTTTTTATTTTTGTATTTTTAAAAGTATTGTATACGACTGTTTGTATTGCAGTTTGTTTGGAGACTTTTCTGCTTAGTCATGAATACCATTCTTGAGATTATTGTCTGTTGCAAATTCACATCAGAGAATTTACACAACACAAAGGTGGTATTCTCTTGATGGCAAAATTACATTATTTACAAACAAATGTTTACCTGTTTACTATATAATGTTTATTGACAAGAGTAACCGCATCTTAGCAACAAATGTTTCCATGGCAACCTTTGACTATACCTTTCTCAAACAACCTAACGGACTCAGAAGATCAAAGGTAGAATCATCAGTGGCCCAAGCTCGTCATAGGAGGCGACTAACGGGATCGGGTGGTCAGGCCCACTCACTTTGTTTATTTCATGACAACTTAACTCAGCATAAAGATGCTCATTATGTCAATCTCCGGATTGTCTAGCCATCATTCTCGCATTTAAAGACCGCCGTTACAAGCTGGACTATTGCTGAGTGCACCATTACAAAACAAATATGTTAAAACAATCCGCGTTTTAAGTATCAAAACCCATGAACTACAAATCTCTAGAAAGGTAACAATATATTTAATCAACTCCGAGGACGAAAACTGTTGACCTAAATATGCGTTGTGTAATAGACTGACTGGGTTATGTCATAAAAACGGGACACTTCGACCTGAGATCTAAGTCTGGCGCAATTCCAAGCGACTTTTCATAATGGCTTTTTCTCTTCCCGGAGTCTAGACAAAATATGTGAAAGAAATTTACCACATAAACATCACGTGCACCTATACATGCATGCTGTCCCAGACTATATACAAACAAGATATGAGTGCATATGAATTTATTTCTTCCATTTGTAAATACAGCAATTTCATTCTATTTAGCCATTCACAAAGTACATTTTTGCTTCACACTGGCTGTGAATTAAGCAAACCAGTACAAATATTGAAACATAATTTGTTTTTCTTGGTATATTTGAAATTGTCAAATGAACATAGTTCGACAACATGCACCCGTGAAGATCCGGGTTAGAATTGATTCAGCGAGACATGCTTGTCGTAAGAGGCGAATTACGGGATCGGGTGGTCAGGCTCGCTGACTTGGTTGACACATGTCATCGTATCCCAGTTGCGTAGATAGATGCTCCTGCTGTTGATCACTGGATTGTCTGGTCCAGATTCGATTATTTACAGACCGCCGCCATATAGCTGGAATATTGCTGAGTGCGGCGTTAAAAACAACCAAACCCAACCATCAGCAACATGTAGTTAGATATTACTGTCGATTCATTTATCGTCACTATATCGTAGGCCGTTGTATACTAGTATTCACAATAAGTACATGTAATTGATGAAACGTTAACTTGATTTTACTCCATAACAGAATTATATATACACTTCGTTCATAAGTACAGTGGAACATCGTTCTTATACATACTGTGGAGCATTTTCAACATAAGGGGCGGTGGGGTAGCCTAGTGGTTATAGCGTTCACTCGTCACGCCGAAGACCCGGGTTCGATTCCCCACATGGGTAAAATGTGTGAAGCCCATTTTGGTGCCCCCCGCCTTGATATTGCTGGAATACTGCTAAAAGTGGCGTATAACTAAACTCACTCACTCACTCTTTAACATAAACACTGGAGCTCACTTATTTATACCATGGAACCTCGGTTCATATACTCAGTGGAACCTCATTTCTACATGCTGTGGAACATCGTTCATGTACAGAATAAAATTTTATTAAATGCACTTTGGCAACTCTCTCAAATACGATTATTAATATATAGTGAAACCTCGATCATACATACCGTGGAAGCTCGCAAACATCCATCCATCCATCCATCCATGTTTCGACCGTGTGATCCGCGCCAGTTTACACTTGTCAGAGGGGTTCACAAAGTACTGTTCTACACAACCAGCTGTCAGACTTTAGTTTTAAGGGAGCCGCGATGGATGAGTGGGTTAGACAGCTGAGTTTGTGTGCTGGCGATTAGGTGCCTCACCCTGAGAGTGTGGGTTCGAATCCCGGATGAGTCTTAACCCCAAAGTACTAGAATCTGTATTCACTAAGAAAGTCTAATCCCAAAATATAACATGTTACAAGTCTCACCTGTGCTCCCCAGCGCTACAAGTTCAAAGTTAAAACATTATTAGACTTACGATAATAGTAACGTTGTATTCATTACGTAGACTTACGATAATAGTAACGTTGACTTACGTAGATTTACGATAATAGTAACGTTGTATTCATTACGTAGATTTACGATAATAACGTAACGTACGTATTCATTACGTTGTATTCATTACGTAGACTTTCGATAATAGTAACGTTGTATTCATTACGTAGACTTACGATAATAGTAACGTAGACTTACGATAATAGTAACGTTGTATTCATTACGTAGACTTACGATAATAGTAACGTTGTATTCATTACGTAGACTTACGATAATAGTAACGTTGTATTCATTACGTAGACATACGATAATAGTAACGTTGTATTCATTACGTAGATTTACGATAATAGTAACGTTGTATTCATTACGTATAATAACGTTGTATTCATTACGTAGATTTACGATAATAGTAGTAACGTAGATTTACGTAATAGTAACGTTGTATTCATTACGTAGATTTACCATAATAGTAACGTTGTATTCATTACGTAGACTTACGATAATAGTAACGTTGTATTCATTACGTAGATTTACGATAGTAGTAACGTTGTATTCATTACGTAGATTTACGATTATAGTAACGTTGTATTCATTACGTAGATTTACCATAATAGTAACGTTGTATTCATTACGTAGATTTACGATAATAGTAACGTTGTATTCATTACGTAGATTTACGATAATAGTAACGTTGTATTCATTACGTAGACTTACGATGATAGTAACGTTGTATTCATTACAATGTTACTTATCAATCAGTGCCTTAAAATATGTGAATGGAATCTGAAGCCGGTCAACTACAGTCTTAAGTGTCCACTAGTGGTGGTCTGATTAATTGAAATAATCGAAGATTGGTCGCAGTGACTAAACGACCAAGCAATCGATCATGTTTTCTCATAATCGAACACAAACAATTCTGAACACTTTTTGCTTTAACAATATTTTTCACAAGGTTGGTTTTGTAAGTAACATTTCATAACCACTACAAGCTTGTTCCAAGTCATGATTGAATTTATCTTAAAGACTCAAAGACTTTTATGTTCCTAACATACTAGTTAAGTAGTAATCCTTTCAATGATGAAGATGTGAAATTTGCCACACACACACACACACACACACACACACACACACACACACACACTCCAAAGAACTACATGTTTTTTCATTATGGTTTTTTTTTTCATTAACAAACAAAAAACAGGAAAATTTCATAAATGACGCTAACCAATTATTTTCGATGATTGATCGGTTGTAATGAAGCAATCATCAATTATGAGGTTTTAACCAATTCCAACACTAGTGTCCACTGTGGTTATCGTATCACTTTTTTTGTTTTCACATGTACATAATTATGCAACTATCTACTTCCTTCCATCCATTCACAGGATGGAGGAGTAAGCACATCCGTTCCTCGTGATTCAGAAGTAGACACCCATAAATCCCCGCCACCCTCACCCTACCCCGTTTTACCGTAAGATCCGGGTTAGAGTTGGACTTCAGTAACCCAGGCTTGTCGTAAGAGGCGACTAACGGGATCGGGTGGTCAGACTCGCTGACATGTCTCCGTATTCCAACTGCGCAGAACGATGTCCATGCTGTTGATCACTGAATTGTCTAGTCCAGACTCGGTTATTTACAGAACAACAAACAGAAAACCCCAACCAACCCACCCCCTCTTTCATTAATGCCATAATTGATTCTACATCTACACGAACTGTGCAAGAGAACTGAAGCTGTAGTGGAGAAGCATAGTAGCGAGGTTACCAAGGTGAACACAGCTCTTGAATCCGTCAGTTGGCTTTAGCAGGCATAAAGATTGAACATGGCAACATGTCCAGGGCGGACTGCAGGGCGACTGTAGGACTGTTGTGTCCTATTTTAACACGGTATAGTAACCAGGATGGTATGGTTCGGGGATATAACATATTTTAAGCGTGTAGCTGTGCTGGCAATATTTCAAATTTGACAACAAAGTTGTGTAAGTATCCAACGCTAACAATATGATAAAAACAAAACCCGGCCAAAAGTCCAATGTGGAGCGTTTCTTGGTTAGGTGATATTTTCCTGGCGCTTCTATTGCATACAATTATCCCATTATGGAGCGCTGGCCTGGTTCATTGTTTGAAAGCAAATCAGTAATATGAAATTTTCAAAAATAGACAACGACTTGAACGTAGGCTCAGTCTATGTTTAGTTGAGTATAATTATATCAAAACGATAGAACCTACTTCGTTATGGTAGAAACTTTCTCTCTTGGGCAACATACTTTTCATATTTAAAAAAAAAATAAAAATGCCTCTATGTGGCATTGCACATAGGAACGATTATGTACATTCTTACACCGTTATCAAACCAGAGTGAGAGCAACGAAGTCAAGAGAAGTCTACACTATTAATTTATGCATATGATGCAGGTGTTATGTCGTAGGCAAATATTACCACACACGGTGATAAGAGTGACCTCCCCTTAAAACAACGCACGCAGCACAACAGGTGGCAATGCATGAGTTTCCAAGCGCCATTTTGAGACTGAGTTGTGTTTTGAAAGCCGCGATGTATTCTCTCCAGGTTACCATAATAGGCAGTCGATCAACATTAACAACAGGTAGCCGATATTAAAAAAGCAGCAAACTGATAATTGGACGAGGCCATTTATGCAGTAACAATTAAATATCGAATAAAAAATCTATCTCATCAGTAGATATTACATTTTATCATCTAATGGAGGGAGTTATCTTATCATGTTTGCTTTACAAACTCCTTGAATGTCAGTGGAACAGAAAGTGTTCATTATAGACAAAGACTGGGAGGGCGGTGGGGCCCGAAAACCCGGGTTCGAATCTCACCCTGGTATAATGTTTGGTGGAGTAGCCTGGTGGTTAAAGCGTTCGCTCGTCACGCCGATGACCCTAGTTTAATTCCCGACATGGATGCAATATTTGAGTCCCCAAGTCCTGTGTCCGCTACCCCAATATTGCTGTAATATGGTAAACGCGGCGTAAAACCATTCTCACCCTACAATGGCAGTGGGGTAGCCTGGTGGTTAAAGCGTTCGCTGGTCATGCCGATGACCCGGGTTCGATTCCCCACATGGGTACAATATTTGAGTCCCCAAGTCCTGTGTCCGCTACCCCAATATTGCTGTAATATGGTAAACGCGGCGTAAAACCATTCTCACCCTACAATGGCAGTGGGGTAGCCTGGTGGTTAAAGCGTTCGCTCGTCACGCCGAAGACCCGGGTTCGATTCCCCACATGGGTAAAATGTATGAAGCCCATTTCTGGTGTTCCTCGCCGTGATATTGCTGGAATATTGCTAAAAGCGGCGTAAAACCTCTCTCACCCACTAACCCTACAATGAGCGGTACCTGTTTTAGATCGCTATGAGATGGCTGAATATAGCTATATTGAAGCAAGACGCAGCGTACAACCCATCTCGCTCATAGTCGACGTTTTTAACGGTAATTTATAATTAAGTAATTTATAACTTGATTTGACTGTACGTTACTTACCTCGATAGCGAAGTTACTTCTAGGGTTGTACATCTCGGGAATGGTCTGCCAGGTGTTGGTCTGAGGGTTGAACCTCTCCCCGGTATTCATCCGCGTGATGCCGTTGAACCCCCCTAGTGCGTACACGCAGCCCCTGTAGGCGATCACCCCGACGCCGCTCCGTCTGTTGCGCATGGGGGTGATGAGAGTCCACTGATTTGTGTTGGGGTCGAAACACTCCGCCGTGTTGAGGCACTCCTGTCCGTTAAACCCTCCGCAGATGTAAATCTTACCTGTATGTGTGAAAATAGTGCGTGAAATTTAAGTTCAGTGGAAACGGTTCAAGTTTTGGTTTGCGGTATTAACCAGATGGCAGAACCTGATATGGCTACGGGTATTGCAGTAGTAACTGCTGTATGGTTTGTAATGCAAGACTTCTCAGGACTAGTTCTTGCCCATTTACCAGGTGTTCAGATCCGTTGATTGCAGGTAGCTGTACCAACACGTTGAGCCTATAAGACCCTCATGGAAAGCAGGTAAATCAAACACTGATACTTTTCATGTTCTATGACTTACCATATCTTCCTAATGTTACAAAGCTGCCAATTAGCCGGAGCCACCATTCTGAATAATGGACTGTACGAAGTTACAGGTAGCCACGTCACACAAGACGCTGTAAATCGTTGCCCCGGGTCGCGTTCACCTGCCCGGTTTTTTTGCACTTAGGTTCGAACCTGTCAACAGGTTATCCGTATCGATGGGTTTATCCAAAGTGCAATATGCCTCTGACTTCTCACACAATTATCTGACTCACTGTAGCTAGTTCACTCACTCACCCACCCACCCACTCACTCACCTTCCAAGGTAGTTGCGCTGGCGTCGCTTCTCTGATGGTTCATGGGCTGTATAAGGCTCCACTGGTTGTTTTTCTTCAAGTACCTTTCGGCTGTGTTCTGTCGCACATGACCATCAAACCCTCCCATGGCGTAGATGAACTTGTCAAGAACAGCAACGCTGACATAGCACCTGAGAAAAATGTTTTAGTTTGCAAACAGGGCACAGGTCCTATGGATTCCACTAAGAATTGTTTGTTTGTTGTTTAAGCTTCAACATGTATAGTCGTGCATGCAAATGCAAATCCCTGTCTTATTAATACTTGTAACAATTGTGTACATTGATATGGCCCAAGAGATGCTAAGTTGGATGCCAAAACAATTTGAAAGAAGCGCCATCTTTAAAAGCGTTGGTTTGACTCGCCAGCATCACAAAGCAATACCTATATGTTTTAAAGACGGTTTCACAACATGATATGAGGTTACAAACAGATCTGTCACTGAGAAAATGAGGAAACGAAGAAGGACTGAAATGAAAAAAACCGCGTTGATCTATGTCCTTATCAGTGAACTTCAGACGCATATATATGTTAATGTGTGAAGGACTGTCGCCATCTCTCTAGTTTTAAGATTTCTCTTGATTTATTTTATTCTACCGAAATTCTACACCGCAGTCCTTCATAAAATGGTAATGTTATCCAAACGATATGCCTTATTGAAACCGTTGAAGGATAATTCCTGCAAATTATTGCAACAGGGAACAGCCATTTTGATTTTCCTCTCCAAGGGACACTACTCCGTCCGTCTTTTGTACTCTCGATCCCTCAGCCGATATCAAACTTGGGATAGGTTCGAACCCCGCTCAGTGATGCTGTTACTTGATCTGATATTTAAATCGACGAGTTGTTTTGAAAATTACCTTAACAAGATAGTTTACCAAAGTCATCATTAACAGTTTTCTATCGAGATAAGTGTGAAAGGCTAGCATGATCAGTAATCTGCAAACAAATATGATGACTGAATTGAATCTTTTGTCTGTACCTAGAAGTAACTGACATTGTATTAGCGATGGAAACACGAACAAGACTCTGCGGTCGTTGATACATGCGTACATAGAGAACATATTTCTTAGAATTGTCTTTTATATTATTAAATTATTATTATTATTATTGTTTGATGAAGTTAATATCAAAGTTGTAAATAATCGGGCCAGACAAAAAAAGTGATTGCTATTATGAGCGAAGGTCCGCGTCGTCGGGGAACATGACACGAAATCTCGGGCTCAGGTCACAGAGCTCATCTCTTACAATCATAGGTTTGTGGAACCAAACTAAACCGACCTAAAACAACACCAGGGCCTAGATTTTCAAAGCTCTCTTAGCGCTAAGATAGTCGTAAGTGCCATTCATTAACATTAACTTACGACTATCTTAGCGCTAAGAGAGCTTCGAAAATCTAGGCCCTGAACATTATCTAAGTGCAACAGTTTCTAACCTCTTTGCGTTCATGGGTGCAGCCTCGGTCCACTGACTATTGATGGGGTTGAAGACCCTGACGCTGTTGAAGTATTCCATGCCGTCAAAGCCCCCCTATGACGTAGATGTGCTGGTCGAGGGCGACGGTACCGTGATAGGCGCGGGGACCTGGACATATTGGAACATGAGTTCGAGTGTGATCATTTACCTGTAGTATCATGCTCGATCAATGAGATATTGGGATTTCCATTGACCTGGACAGAGGGTCATTCAGAGATGAATTTTAACATGCAATATTTCCTAACCAGAATTCACATGTGTGTATGTGAACCCTAATACAGTGAACTGTACATTACCCTTAGACTAATGCTTAGTCTCTGAATATATATAATTTTGATAGTAACAAACAAGCCCATTTAAATTAAAAAGGAGCCCCAGGGAGACCAGAGATTCAGAACCTGAACCTGAGGAAATCTAGACTTGCTTTATTTAGGGCTTTAGCACTGCAGAGAGGGCTTTGTGAGACAGACTACACTGTTTGATAGATCTCCCTTGTTTATTAGTTTACAATATCCGTCATATTTCTAAGTGTTTCCCTTCTGACAATTGTCTCCAATACTGAATCATCTTTAATATAATTGACCCAGAAGCTGAGAATACAAACTAAATTAATTGAATAGCTTGCTGGGATAAGATGTTCATCATTGAGTATTTCTGTTGAGTAGGGTCTTTTGCCTGGCCTGGCTGCCCGACCGCCCGGGACGGGTTATTTTCAGCACGGACTGCCAGATTCTCAAATTCACCTGCCCGACGGTCGGGTTAAAATTTAGACATGTATATGAAGATATTCATCATATTTCAGGATAATAAATCATTATTAATTCACTCGTAAAAATAAATAATGAATTCCAATTGGATGATAAACTACGTCACTTGTCAAACCTAAATTATTTGCAGGCAGGTAAATTTTGGTCAGGGCTGGCAAGTTTTACATCTAACCAGCCCTGTGGTTTGGCTAACATTTTTGGAGTTTCATACCCTGTTTATAAGTGACCACTTATACTCGTTGTTGTTGTTGTTGTTGAGCGCATTGTTACTCTGCAAACTCTTTTCAGCAACACTATTTTCGTGTTCAAAGTTCAAACAAATCACGTATCTATCTCACCTGTGTCGACGTTGTTTGAGACAATCCACCTGTCTGCCCGTGTGTCATATGTTTCCACCATGTTTGTGGGAGACCCTCCACTCCATCCACCAATCACGAACAAGATCTCGTGTGGCACGCGAGGCTTGGCAAGAGGGTTGTTGAGGTCCACCTCCTTGTCTTCATCCATGTCCAGGTCATACAGGAACTTCAACGTCTCAATGATGATTGGTTTACAGGCATCTATTTCCTTGACATAGGGGTGAGACTTCACCTGGAGATGAGCGTGGCACAGGTAAAATGATTCTTCTAAAGTGCTCCCCCGGGGGACTCATTTGTAAATGTAAGGTAAATTTTGTTAATTATATTTGACCAGAACAGCTACCATTTTCTGGTTAAGATTTCTTCTTAAGAAAAGGTTCAGAACAATGTCCAACTAGTGGTTGGTTGGTTCGTTGTTTAACGCCGCACTCAGCAATACTCCAGCTATATGGCGGCGGTCTGTAAATAATCGAGTCTGGACCAGACAATCCAGTGATCATCATCATGACCATCGATCTACGCAATTGGGATACGACGGCATGTGTCAACCAAGTCAGCGAGCCTGACTAACTGATCCCGTTATTCCACTGAAGACCGATCCTAACCCGGATCTTCAAGGGTGGCCAACTGGTGAAGCAGCGTGATACAATCGCAATCGTAAGCGAACTACAGACCACATTATCACTGTCCACATACATCTATACCAGATCCGTTTGTGCACAGAGGTTATGAAAACTTGCTACATTATATTCTGAGAGGTTTATTGACATTGCTAGGCTTGCATGCATACGGTCATGCATACAGTCTAACGAAAGCCGGTGTGACACATTGGCAATGACATTGTTGAACATGTTTTTATGTTATGTCAAATGAATCTCCACGAACGATAAACGCCCTTTTTAATAGAATTTGTGATTTACCAATGGTATTGCAGATATCCTCACCTAGACTAACAACAAATTTCACCGAGAAAAATGCTCATAGTGAAAAAAATAAAATATAATGAAAAGGAGCCCTGAGACTTTCTTCATCCTGAAGCTGTGGAAATCTAGACTTGCCACATTTTCTAGACTTGCGTGGGATTTCTTGGATATATTTGCTTCAGGGTCTGTATGACAGACTAATCCTCACCATGTGTTTCACTTTAAGGAAGTGGGTGTCACTGTTACAATGTGTGTACTTATAATGCGCTTACATTATTACTTTGGTCAATGGGTCATTGTACACTACAACCAAAACTGTCGCTGAGGATATGGAAATAGTGAGAAGACCATCTCACTATTTCACTGCGGGGTGAACACAAAGTCACTTGCCTAAAGTGACAACACATGTGTTACAGGACTGGAACAGGACAGAGGTCCAAGAAACAGTAATCAAGCTGCCAAAAATGATTACCCAGCCATGGACCCTCGGCGCACTGTTTTGCCACACACCGTCACGTAATATTGTATGTATACTGTTGATTAGCTCTCTAGATGTAATAGTCTTGTATATTGTATCGGGGGTTAGATAGACATTCTTCATTTCCCCCACAATATGAAGATGACAGCATACACTGAGAGAAACAAATAAAGGAACACAGTGAAATTCAAGCGTTCATTAAATATTTCCACCTGCTGTGAATAGCGCTGTGGGAGGAAATCTCAGAACAAATAAAGGAACACTGCCATGAATAAGTTATTTGTCCTTATATCAATCTATGACATTAACTATCACACATATATAAGACTCAATCTCTCAAAACATTTACCTTTTACATTAAAATACACTTTTGGAAGATTTCTTCCGGAGAGTGGTAAATATTACCTTTGTCTTGGGCTATTACTTCTGAAAGGGTTGTGAACCCGACTCTTTCATAATACTAAAGATAATCTGTCATATTACTTATGAATATTACTATATTACTGTATATGTTGTCATGATATGACAGATTAAGCAGAGTAATATCAAAGAATCGGGTGATCCTGAACTTTTTTTAAGTGAGTCAGGGCAAAGATAATATAAGTCACTACCCAGTTTTTAAGTAGTTGATTAAATGTGTTTCTTTCTAGATCACGATTATACAGAAGCAAAATATAAAAAGTAACGTTTTACTACGCATTAGATAAAGGATACAGTGCAAAATATATACTATGCAGCGTGTGTGTGTGTGTGTGTGTGTGTGTGTGTGTGTTTGTTTTCCCTGACGCCATTATTAATTATTCAGCTGTTCCCAGTCCTGCTTCTGTTACCTACCTTCTCCACGAAGTACTGTGTTGTGAGAAGCCCAAGGCGGATTGTCTTCAAAAGCCGAGCTATCTGACACTTGCGTTTTTCTGGATCAAAATCTATCCAGCGAAGAACAGCATCAAAAACGATCTCTTCATTCTTTACATTGAGGTCATCAGATCCCAAAATCTCGCATACTTCCTCCACATCCAGTTGAAGGAACTCGTTGCTGTTGGAGTAGACCTCGCCGATGTGTTGCAGAAGGAAACGTAGTGCATGGCGTTCCAGGCTGTGACAGAAATACGCCCGGGCAAAAGCTCTGATTCCAATAACATTCTCTGCACACATCTCCTTCAGGAGGAAGTCGCAGCAGAGTCTGACGAGGCCAGTGACATGGAATTGGTCAGCCGCCGGGAGAAGCTGTTCTACGTTTTCTCTGTCAATCTTGATGTCTCTGGTGTAGGCGTACTCGATAAGGATGTGCATGATATCAGGGGACACTCCAGGGATTGTGACCTCCCGCTTGTTCGTGTCGAACATCTGGTTTGTGAAGAGGGCCCGGAAATAAGGGCTGCAGGCGGACATGATGGCCCTGTGGATCTTATATGTCGTGTCCTCCACTCTGATTACAGCATCACAGAGTTCCCCCTTCTTCCTAAGCTCTGATAACACATTGCAGGCATGCACACTAAACTTCTTCTGCATTACTGTGCCGTTCGTCGTCTCATCCTCGATGTCCATCTCGCTCATGGTTGTCTCTGGCGTACAGTACAGACTCTTGATGAAGTACGACTAGTGCGGGTTGTCTCCGGAGAAAGAATGAAGCCTTAGATACGGAGATCTCTGGACAATGACGTCGAGGGGCCAATCGTAGAGCGATAAAGATATGACGTCACAGAACTATCAATGGCTGGCGTCACTGTCGATGTGCCGTGTGTATGACGTCATGACATTATTCTTGGAATGTGTCGTTTTAACCACAAGCCCAGTTTTGGATAATTCTATTTCTGATATCGTTTATTCGTGATTTCGATCCCTTACGCCTTTATTTACTCCAAAAAATAATGATTAATACTAAGCGTTACTCATTTTTTAATATATTTAACTTTTACTTTAATTATTTTATAAGGTTATAAAATTGAAGACAGTTAAAGACATCGGGTGCTTTAATGTAAAACATTCTCATTACATGGTAAATACATTCAATAAATCAATTTAGTTTCCGCTTTAAATTCGGAGATTCTTTTATTCAGGCATTTATAAATGCATAGACTCCATTCAAGTACAACATAATCGTTGTATCACTTTTAGTTTCTACAGTGTTGATGAGGGAGATCGGAATACGTTACCCTTCATTCAATTCTCAAAACAAACTACAATAACTGATTACATATATTCGAGCTCAGTGAACATTACGTCAAACCATGATGAAAGTTGGCCGTTTTATGACTTGATTTCACAAATAAAGGAACAATCATATAGTACTCTACGTGTATCTGGCATCCATTGCTTCACGGGACGATAACCTTTTAGTTTTTCCAAATTCCTATATACCAAGAACCAGTGAACTCAGATTTGTAACACCATGGTCAGTGCCAAACATGGTCAACAGGTGTGACAAGGGAAATTGTAATACAATTTTGTGTTTCAGCAATAAAAAACAGGATTTAAAGATGTCCAAGATACATGTTCATTTATAAGCCTAACAATATTAGTTGAATTGGATAACTGTTCTGATTTCACAGAAAACAAGTCTGTGACTAGATCTTATAGGTGGGGTCATACTTGAGCATATTTCGCTCATATGACGACGTGCATGCGTGTGGCTGCTTGTACTAGCCCAGACTTAAGCTGGTTTTATAGTGCTAGCTCACTGAGATACAATGCCGCAGTGAAGCATGAATACCCCACTCAGACACATTAAACTGACTACCGACCTGTCCTTGTTGTACCCATTAATGCCGAGCGCCAGGCAGGGACCAACAAGTACCATATTTTAACGTCTTTTGGTATGACGCGACCGGGGATCAAACCCGCAACCTTCCGCTCTCCGTGCGGACGCTCTAACCACTACACCACGAGTAGAACATATACCCTGAAAGGACAGTGAAGCTGGTGTTCAACTGAGCTTAATACTTATACCTGTTCTGTTGATTTTATGGTGGTGTTCCTTTCCAACAGACATATATTATTTCCAAATTCATAGTATTACTTAATTTTTAAATTATGTTTGGAAGAAATTACATTCAAGGTATTAACATCAGAGTATGCATTCGTTTTTCCTTTCATTATTTTTTTTAATAAATGTGCAGGTGTTGAAATTGCAAGAGTTCATCTTGTGGTGCATTGAGCTTGGCGGGTAAATCAGTTTTTTAATAGAAAAGCAACAAATATTACAGGTACATCCGGCATGTCAGATAAAAGTTGGGTGAACCCTGTCCACCAAAACCCCACCCTCGTTCTACCCCATCCGGGGTTCAAACCTATACACAGATGGGGTGTGACCTCCTTGCCTTGATAAAGCTGTCTTTTGATGCCAAGCAATACAGTATTCAAGTACATTCCATGAAATATCGCACAATTGACTCATCGGTTCAGGCTGATATTAAGTCATAGTATAAGGAAGTATGTTATGAAGACTCACAGCAAAAAGTAGGGCTGCAGAGAGTCTACAAAACATACATTTTGAAAATATATTTCTCATTTTTAAATCCAGATTTGAATTTCCCACTCTGTCAGTCAGGTGGCCAGAGAAGGTGCGTTTACATAGAAACAAGCCTTGGAGTGGGGGAAATGTTTCATTCAGGGTTTCATATTTCAGGCAGGCTGGGAAAATGCAGGCTGGGATGGTGATCATATAAGTTTACTCCATTTTTGGAAACCCACTAACATCAGAATAGTGATGACAGAACAATGATCATCGGATTCTAACATATCTAAGGGAGATAACTCCGTCATGAGATTATACAAGACTATACTATATCAGTCAACAATTCTAAATCTACAACTGAAACGAATGTCAGCCTAAGAAAAACAAATTATTCTATTTGCACAAAATAAACTAGAGAAAAAAAAAACATGTCAGTGTTTGTATTAATTTTATTTGGTTCAAATCACTCATTAACATAATATAGTTTCTTATATTTATAAAAATATCAACAATCAATGTTGTGAAATATGTCACAAGAAATGTATATTACAAAATATAAAAGAAACAGCAACAAAAAGTTCATCTAAAACATTGTCCCCTAAGTTCAAATATGAACAGACAATAGAGACACGGGACCACAAAGAAAGTCACAACTATCCTAAACCTTCATCACCTTAAATTATCAGTTTCTGTAACACTGATCTTAACTATCTCAAAAACATAAAATAGTCATCATGTAACAGATATTTTGGCGTTTGATTAATGCTCAATATTTTGATTATATTGTTTGACTACATGTAGATCTAGACTTTAATATAAGTAATGATCCATTTTATTCAATTCCAAAAACCAACACCCAAACACAGAGAAACAAATGCAGATGACTTCAAGTTATTCAATAAAGGATAAGATAAATTGAGAGGGAGAGAGAGGGGGAGGAGAGAGAGAGAGGGATACTATTTACCCTAGCCTACTGATTGTCATAGTTTAATCTTGATTTTACCATATCATCTAAACTGATGCATTGCAGGTAGTATATATCTATATTACTGCAGGACATTAAGAGAATACACATTAATACATAAAGGCATTAAAGTATTATTCTATTCTATTTTATTCTATTCTATTCTATACACAGAATCCACATAGACCTCTTCCACAACTTGCGATTAGTGCTCAGCTGATTGTAACTCCAATACTTTATCATAGGCCATTACAACTCAGAGAGTGAGTTTAGTTTTACACCGCCTTTAGCAATATTCTAGCAACATCATGGAGGGTGACACCAGAAATGGGCTTCACACATTGTACCCGTTTGGGGAATCGAAGCCAGGTCTTCAGCGTGACGGGCAATGATTTAACCACTAGGCTACCCCACTGCCCTACAACTCTAAGATGAATTTGATTAAATGGGTCTTCTATGGGAGGCAACAATAAATAGACAATAACTAACAAGTGACGGGGAATGACAGATTATCTTTCCCGAGTTATATAAATTCTGTAATTCTCAAGCCTTGGTGAGTTGGTTATTGTGTTTATTACACTTTATAATCTGAAAAACACTTTAAAAAAACAGCAGTCTCTCTATAAGGAAACCCGCGATGTGGGTTGTTGCAGAAAATAAAATAATCAAAAAACGTTCAACAAAAGGTGTAACCTCCATAGGGACTTACAGGAAAAACACTACCCCGTGTCCTCCTTCTCACATGGGTAATTAACTCTAAACCCCCAAAAGTAATAACTGAGGTTAATATGGCAAATAATGTCCAAGTGTATCCCCTCATACAACAGTGGAATATTAGTCTTAAGACATGTTCCAGAATTCCAAACATGGAATATTCCAGAAAAGAGAGTTATTTGGAATGAATTAATACCTTCAGGCATACAAGTACAACAGAATGGACGGACACATATTCACAAACTGGATCACAGTTTGTGTGTATTAAAACTAAATTTACAAATATCACAGGTAATACACAATTGGTTGTACACAGAGAAATTCCTCTGCACGAGAATCACACAACACAGACAAAAGTCTGCAATTAAAAGTTAAAACCATTACATTGTTTAACAAACATAACACTGTAATGAAGTTAATTATATAAAACACATAAAACTCACAATGAAATTAGGACACTATAATGCAAAATGTTATAAAGCTGTTTTATTTTTAACTAAAAGCGTAACAGATATAAATATCACGATGAAGGATGTTATTAAAAATGTTAACAGATTAATTTCTGAGCATTACATTTTTTTTTTAAACATGATAAATCAATGTGGGAATAAATGTAAACCCATGCTTTTTTGTAGTCATTTTGTTTTTAAAAGCCCTGTTATATTTATCCTTTTTGCCCTACTGGACTGAGCTACAGCATTATTTACATAAACTTTAAAAGAAATGTTCTCAGGGAATTATATACTTATGGTACCTTCGATCCACAAGTAATCAAACAAGAGGCTTCATGTCTAGCTAACTGTTGCCTAGCAACTGTTCTCTATGCATGAACAATTCCCCAAATATCTTGTTCCAACAGAAACTGACACCATTTTCAATGTTACAAGATCTATCAACAGTGTTCATCAGCAATAGGTAACAAATTAATCATACCAAGAAACAAACAACACAAATTTGCACGTTAATCATGAGGCTACTCGATGTTCTTCACTGATGCTGGGCTTCCAGATTCTACAATTACATTGCTTCATCAACAGGTGAATGCTTCACTGCCTCTTGCCTTCTCTCTACATGCCTTGCGACACAAGTCCTCAAAATAACTGTTGTCTCAAGTTAAAAAGGTGGTAACAGTTCAGAGACCCAGATAAGCTGCGTATCCGGGTAAAATACGTATATAAAATTTCAAATTACGCATTGAAAAATAATTGTTGCGTACAAATTACGCATTTAAAATGTTAGATACGCAAAAAGTTTAAAACAAATGTGTACGTAATATATATATAAAAATCGCTTGCATAATGAAAAAGATCGATTGCTATCAAGTTGTACTGTTAGTATAGGACAAGTGTTGTACTGTCAGTATAGGATGAGTGATTTTCTATGAAATCATTTCCATTATATTTAAGTTGGTTTTGATTAGGTATGACATAAGGCAGAACATACCTTCTTAGTAAACTTACTCAATGACATACTACTTGAGTAAAATGATTGAAATACGCACATATTTGAAATCAGTGGGTAACGGAAAATGAAATACCCACTCAACATTCATAATACCCACTCCAAAAAAAATACAGTGGGTAGAGTACCCACATGAGCTAAATCTTATCTGGAGCTCTGAGTTCAATGCCGGTCTTAGTACCATCAAGTTCACCACTATACAGGATTTACCACACATGCACCCCTGCACCCTAAAAAGTGAAAAGGGAGGCCAAATATACAGAGTGAAAGGATGCTGAAAATGTATATCCATGTTTAGAAATGAATGTTGCTATTTGTGATTTTGTACAGATACATAGGTTTAGATATATTTAATGTATCTGTATGTAATCACTTACAAAGTACACTACATAGTACATGCTTCACGATCTTCAAGGGTTGGTTCTTACAGATTTTTGTCAGTGCTTATCTATCTCTAACAGTATCTGAAGCAAACTTACATTACTTGTGGTAGAGTGCTGTATTCAGTTTTCCAGAGAGACACATTTTTAGCATGGGACCCTCATTTTTTAAACTTAAACCTTTACAATTTAAAGCTTTGAATCCTTTGGAACCCTAAAATATATAACCCTGGTAAATCCCTGTACATGAGGACTGGGAAAGTCAGCATCATATCACAAAGCTGATTGGTTAGTTGCAACAATACTGTATGACATCATCCTTTATGACATCACAACAGGTGACATGACATCATCATCACAGTTGGTTGACTTCAAGAAAATGTGTTGTTCCCCAGATAGCATTCAGACGCTGGCCCAACATTGGCAATGGTTTTGCCAACATTGCCAACGTTGGGCCAACGTCTGAATGCTATCTGGGTCATTATGTATTTTCTTTCTTCAAATGACAATTATTAACATAAAAGCCCGACTGACATGAAGCATGGGTTATCTATCACTCCTTTAAGAAGGCAATAGAGACTTTCACCATTTGTTCCTTCAGAACAAAAACCATGCATCTATTATGTTAGTTTCTGCTTCATACTGTGGAAATCATCATTCACCATTGACAGGGGTTCAAAAAAAAATTAAAAAGCCACTTTCCACAGGGCAAGTGACTCTAAGAAAGTAACTTGTCCTGACTAATTTTCCACTCGCCCTGATTTTATGACATAATTATGATGATGTAATTATGAAAGAATAAATCAATATGGTATTTGATGTTTATGTTTACTGCACTATTTATTGAAAAGTGATAAATAGCAAAGAAAGATAACTCTCCTTTATTATCATTGTGAAATGTAATAGCTACATTTTGAGCAGATATGAAATTAAATCCAAGTTTTATTTGCGGTTTGAAACCATAAGTGAAAATTATCTAGTAGCCCACGGACAAGTAAGATACCATTATTTGATTGCCCGAAATGAAAACTGACTTGTCCCGGGTGTCGGGCGATGGGATTTTTTAACCCCTGCATAGATCACCTTTCTTTGAAAGCAATTTGCCGAGACCTAAGTCTATACTTGGGTCTATACTGACACAACGTATGTTTATATGTTAGGATGGAGAGGATTTCTAAATATTCATTACATGTAATACCATCTTTTCCAGTTGCAATCATATTCAATTAATTTTTTTTTCTTTTAAATACTTTCTTCCAACAATTAAAAAACAAGTTTATTCAAACATGCAAACCTATTTTCTTAAATGATTCCTTGACCAAACTAAGTGTTCTAAATTCCAGGAACCACGTCTTCGCAATACCATGACTGGTACCATTCCTCAACACCTTTTGCCTAATGAATCATAAATACAGTTCCTTTCCCATTTGTAAGTTTTGGAATATCACAAATGTGGGATACCTTTTTCTAGCTCACATCACATGTCCTAACTAGTTCAACAATACATAACTGAGAAATTATTTTACAGTTTATTTATGCTACTTCCTGAATCAACAGATTTCTCAGACAAAAAACATGTTTGCATCTGAAAATGTTTGCATAATGACCCGCAAGTTCAGAATGACCAATGAATTTCTGATTCCAAATTCAATAACAATAGTGTTACATCATCATAATGGTCTAATGCCAGTAATTCAGGAGCAGGGCTACAGCCATTGTAGTGTTAACAATATCACAGTTCTACATGTTCCACGATTTGAGAGTCACACTACACTTTGCGTGGCCTTGAGCTGCACAATCGCCACGGCAACAAAGGGAGGCAACTTTGTCAAGACAATCAGCAGGCAATACAAACAGTTAACATTCATCTACAGTGTGACACACTGCTAACATATATATATGTCTGATAACTCATACTGAATGTAATCAGATAGATATTTGCCTAGATTACTGCAGACTACTGACACAAGTTCAAATATTTCTGACCTTGACAGATTATTATTCACCAACTTTGGCCATATCAAAATCATAATAATTTGACAAAGTAATTATACCAGCTTCGATGTCACTACGTCAAAATGTATTTTTTAACACAAATAATGAAATCACTATAAATTAAGTGATAATTCCCTGAATCATCTTGTTTGATACAATGCCAACATTTCACATTTCGAACCCGGGTTACTATGTGACACCGTCATGTGGAGAAACAGTCCCCATGCCTTCGATGTGATGAGCGAATGCTTTAACCACTTTTTACCCCTCCCCCCATCTGCATAAGTCTACATTCAAGACCAGCTTCATTTCAGACTTTCCTTACACAGTGAGCTGACAGACCTTGACACACACATCGGTTTCTGTCCAAATCAATGTAAACTCCAACTCACTAATTCATCAAAGAGCCGAGTAATTTCATGTAACTTCTATGTGTAGAATCATTCAAACCTTAAAGATTCAGCCATGAAATAACCCAAAGCAGTGATGGGTCTTGGGTACGTATTATACTGGAATGGATACTTGGTGAACAAACATGCTTATCTTCTTGATAAAAAGTCCACAACCTTGCCTGACAAAGATGGCTGAGCTTCTCACAGTTACATCTGACAATCGCAACCTTAAACAAAGCACAACCACTTCCGTTTTCCATAACTATTAACTGAACAGTTCCTCCATATCACAGCTTCAATAACAAAAGATAAAGATATATAGTTTTGTGAGTTAATTAATTCACTGAACAGATTTTCCATATCCCTTTTTTCAATAACAGAAGTTAACTAGTTATATGATGGTTAATGGATGAGAAATCCAAAACAAAAATTATCAACAATGGACGGAGAGATGCAGCAACTACTGGTATGAGCCGAGTTCACTGTAGACTGCATGTTGAAGAGCCCTGTTTCTCTCCAGAACGCTTGATGTGACGCCCACTGCTGCTGCCGTTGGAGCTGGCCGATGGAGAGGACGACACCCTAGCATCGCTGCCTGCAATTAGGGCTTCTAGGTCCGCAATCTACAAAAAGAATGATAGCACCATGAATGAGAGTAAGGCTTTTATAAGACTATCTCTTTAGTCTCGTTTTGTTTGAGACAAGAAAAGAGCCTCTAACCCCCCTTTCGAAAATTTATACAAACCTGTAGAGGTTATGAATTCTTTGAAGAAAGTCCTCCTTGGGGTACATATAAGCATTAAAATGTCCATTTTAAATCCTACGACAGTTGTAACTATATTTTTAATAAAATATTTACAAAACAAAAAACTCGTTTTGTCTTGTGAGACCACCCCTACAGGGCCCCACCGGACCAACACAGCCAAGAGCAGGTAACTCTCGCCGTCTACCTCGTACCTCACTTTTCATGCTGAACGTGTCAGACAGAATGAGGGGAGGGCCGGAGTGGCCATTCAAGGAGGACTTTCTTCAAAGAATTCATAACCTCTACAGGTTTGTATAATTCTTTTCAGAAGAAGTCCTCCTTGGGGTACATATAAGCATATGACAGACTCCCAAAGATATTTGAGGCGGAGTGGCATTCTGTCTGGCAACAACTAAACCCGTGGTGGAGTGAAATCTACAACCGATACGAAATAGAAAACACCGAGCCACCTGACCGCTGATGTCAATCAGACGGGCGGAACTAGAGAGCCCAAGCTTATATGTCAATTGGCTCAATATCAATGACATAAAACCCCGCTAACCATTACAATGGAAGGAATGTATGGGGACATGCCGAACAACTCCCAACCCTAATATAGCCCCAGCCAGACAATCGTGGCGCAGAGGTATAAGGGTAGGGAAAGAGTAAAAATTTAAACGCTTACAAAGCCAATAACCCAGGAGTCGAGCTAATAAGTACTGCAAACTAATGCTCAATGCAGCCCCTGTTTGGAAGAGGGCTTGCCGGGACCTCGATAAAACCCAGAGAAATTATTAGCCTCGCTAAAACTTTCTGAGGAAATCGAACGAAAGTACAAACGCCATGCATTGTAATGCAGTGAAAACACCAAACACTCTCGGCGTGAGGAGGGTAAGTGTAGGCCACCATCCCACAAAGCTGATTAACACAGGCTCCCAAATACCAAAGGCTCGGGGAAGAGGGAAAACTGTAAGCCGCATAAAAATCCCCTGAATAGCTTAAAAGCGTGGCCGAACATATGTTGGCTCACCATTACACTAACCTGGTCACGTGACATGCGGCTCAAGAGAGGCATACCAAACAGTGCCCCGCGGGGTTCGCACCCAATTCCGTCCGCAAGACGGTTAATAGCATATGACTGGTTAAAGCGCTCAAAACGGACCCGCCTCTTGAAGGGGCGTAAAGGGGCGACGATGTACACCCAAACCCGACCCAACCCGAAAGGATGGTAAGGCTAATACGATGTAGTGATATGAAATATATCGACATTGAACACAGAACCGATACCAATGACCAGTTACTAACTTGGTCAGGGTGGCAGGTCACTCTCCACTGGAGAGAACCGAAAGACCAAACCGAGCACGATCCTTAGAATGGGTGTCAAGTTGGTAATGGCGAATGAAGGCGTTCTGCTGGCTCCAAAGAGCGACAGAACCGATCTCTTCATTGAGCAGTGCCGCTGTGTATTGTCAACAAAGCGGCATCTGCCCTACCCAGTCTGCCTTCAACCCCTCGGGAGGTAAACCGTATCATTGTAAATCCATACAATTACGGAAACAAGCCAACGAGATAAAGTGCGCTTGCTAGCAGACTCCCCAGTCTTCCCGCCACCAAACAGCACACATGGGGTACCGTCACGGATCCCTTTTGTTCGCTCGTTCGTGACAGGCACGGGTGAGCAATCGAAAGATTGGTCCCTGGTGCGAAGGCTGGGTAAGGGGTGGAAGTGCGATATGAGCAGTCACGCGGAAAGCAATATCGCGACTGAGAGTGGTAGGTATCCGAGTCGAATACGGACATGATCAGTATAAAATACTGTCAGTGTCGGGTCAGTGGGAATCGCATGGATGTACCCGACCCTTCTACCAGAGTTCACCACAACAAGTAAAGTCGCCTTCCACGCCAACAAGTGAAGTGAGAGAGACGATATACTTGAAAAAATTAGGGCCAGGCAGCCAATTGTGAATAAGTGGCAATTTTAAGGTGGGCTGGTCACGCCGACGAGGCGGTCGAACCCTGTTCATGCCAGCTACGACGCGATGTACGAGAGGATGCTGCCTAGGCAGAGCACCATCGAACGAGGTGTGAAACGTGGAAATAGCCATGGAGTACCCGGCAATGGTGGAGGTCATAAGGCTCTCAACCAAAACGAGGTTATAGTAACTCCAATATCCGAACTAAGTCCGCAGAATAGGGATTATGAAATCCCCCTATCTGCACACCAGCGCGCCCCACCTATCAACACACTGAACGGGTGTTGAATCCCAGACAGAATTGTGTCTGCAACGGTTGCAGGAATTTAACCAAACCTGCAGAGGTTTTCAATTCTTTGAAGAGAGTCGTCCTTGGGGTACATATTATGCATTTTCCGGCTGAAAAATGTCCTGTGACAGTTGTATCAATGTTTTTTGAATAAAAAGATTGAACAATAAATAAACTCTTTTATTTATTATACGGACCCTACCTCACGGAGTTACCTCCCTTAGCGCATGCGCACCAACTGGGTAGGCTCCTAGACCCGTATCATCATTCCTTCTGCTGAATTCTTATCAGTGAACAGAATTGCGGGAGGCGGAGGCCCTACCCAAGGGCGACTCTCTTCAAAGAATTGAAAACCTCTGCAGGTTTGGTTAATTCTTTTCAGAGAGATCGTCCTTGGGGTACATATTATGCATAAACACAGACTCCCAAAGACCGGAGGCCAGGGAGGAGGAATTCTGTCCAAGCACACACAAATATAGCGATCGTATCATGGAAAAAATTGAACAGACGCCATAACACTCACCTGTCACTTGTCCCAGTTTCGCTTCACGAGAGGCATTATGGGAGGGAACTGACAGGGAGGAATTGTGCTCAAAGAAGACCTCTCTAGCATAATGAGACATTGCACGAGTGCGAATGTCAATGAATCCCCACCCACTAAGTGGCTACATGAGAGCACCGTGAGGGGAATGCAAAATACCACTCACTAACGATATAGTAACTCCGTAGAGAGAATCGAAGGGGTACAGGTTCTCTGAGTGAGCTCACAGTAGCAGACATGTCAATAATGGAATTATTGTACAGTAGCGTCAAAACAAACCAATAAACCAAGACTCACTCGGTCAGGGTGGCAGGACACTGTCCACTGGAGAGAACAGTACGGCCAAAGCTCGCACGACACGGAATGCGACGAGCTGATAATGCCAGATAAACGCGTTGCTTGGCGGCTCCAAATAGCGGCGGAGCAGATCTCTTCAATGGGAGTGCCGATGCAAAGCTTTTGAGGCAGCTACTGCCCTGACCGAGTGAGCCTTCAACCCCTCAGGGGAGGCTTGCCCTTAGCCTGATAAGCGGCACAAATACGAGACTAGCCAGCGAGACAAAGTCTGCTTGCTCGCTGGCAGACCAGCCTTCCGCCACCGCGTAACAACAGAACAGCTGGGTACCCGTCACGGATCCCCTGCGTTCGTTTGACATAGACTTTGGCGTCTTCACGGACATCCAGCGGGTGAGTGCTCAGAGTAGAGTGGTCCCGATGTGGAAGGCTGGGTAAGAGTAGGAAGTTCGATAGGAGCTGTCACATGGAAAGCGTGATTGACCTTCGGTCGGTAAGTATCTGGGAGGCGAATACTGACACGATCCGTGTGAAACACAGTCAGCGCCGGGTCGGACGACATAGCATGTAAATCGCCGACCCTACGACCAGATGTTACCGCCACCAGAAAAACAGCTTTCCAGGTCAACAACTGAATGGAAATAGCCGATAGGTGTGAGAAAGTGGGACCGGACAGCCAATCGAGCACGATCGACAAATCCCAAGGTGGACTGGTTCGCCTGAGAGCAGGTCGAATCCGTTCCGCGCCAGCCAGAAACCTGAGAATTACCGGAAACCAGCTCTGTGACGGCCAAAGCGGTGCCAGTAGCACAAGTAGCCGAGCTGGCTGGGTGGACAGCTGTGAAAGGACACGGGGAATGAGTGGTAACGGCGGGAACGCCCAGAGCACTTTGCCCGTCCAATCCAGCAGGAAGGCGTCGGCAGCCAACGCCCCTGGGTCCGGTATCCGAGAGCAGAACACGGGTGTCTGATGCGTCCCGCCGGACGCAAACAGATCCACCTCGAGCGACCCGTACAACTGGGAGATTACTGTGAATATCTGCCTGTCGAGCATCCACTTTCGTCGCGGGGCCAGGATCGGCGAGAGGCGCATCTGCTCGCCGTTCTCCAGCCCGGGAGATAAACAGGGAGTACCTGACAATGCGTACTGAGTCGCACCAGAGGAGAAAGTCCACGCTTCGGGCGCTGGGGACACCGTGCCTCCCTGCTTCAGGATGTACGACATGGCCGTCTGGTTGTCTAACTGAAGGCGGACTACCTGGCCCGGACATGCTCTCTGAAGCGCTCGAATACCAACCGCACAGCTCTCAGTTCCAACACGTTGATGTGAAGGTGGGCTTCGGCTTCGGACCAGAGTCCGGAAGCCGACAGACTGCCCAGAACACCCCCCCAGCCCGTGAGGGACGCATCGGTCTGAACTGTGAGAGCTGGCGTCGGGATTTCCAAGGGGAACCCCCTGGTGAGATTCCCGACATTTGTCCACCACTGAAGGTGAGGTTTCAACCACTCGGGGACTGTGAGACTGCGCTCCAGATCCTCCGTGTGAGTCCACAGCCGAGCCAAAGCTTGCTGTATGGGACGCATCCTCAACCGCGCCCGCCACACTACAGAGATCGTCGCCGCCATATGGCCCAGTAGACGGAGCCAAGTCCGTGCTGGTGCCTGGGGCTGGGAGAGGAATGAAGATACCATCTCCCGAACTCTGGTGACCCGGTCGGGCGACAAGGAAAGCGAGATCCTTGGTGCGTTTGGAATCGCTCCAAGAAAAACCAAGTCCTGGG